CTGGGTTGGCGATTTGTAATAAAACACTTTACCACTTGCACTAATTATTTTACTTTCACGATCCAACACTCACTTTAATTTGCAATCACTTTTTCTTTTTCCTAATTTCACAAATGTTTATTAATAACTGAGCAATATTAGGACAGTGTCACATTTTTATAACTACCCGAGACAATCAATTGCCAATTAAAATAGTTCTATAACAGAATCAACAAAATCACTTTATTTAATTAAATTAGCTTAATATTTTTTTAATCTTTACAAAATAATATTTATTATATATTAATGGAATATACACCCGATATTCATTTGTTTATTAACATTATTATAGGCCAACAGAATGTTGCCATCAATGCCATCATATTTATATAAATCAAATTAAAAAATAATTATTATTTGACACATTATTATTGCCTCTTTAATTCATTTATTTTAATAAATACAGATATTTTAAATTAAAAGATGTAAAATACGATGACTATGCTAACCAATGTCTAAAATGTCATTCATTGGTTCATCGATATATGTATTTTATCGATTACGTTCAAGCACTAGAAATATTGTATTGTGTATCAGTGTTTATAATAATGTAATAAAATCTTTGTGTGCGTTATGCGTCACTTGGTTGAACTAGTTTTCATACATTTGTATTTTATGTCAGGTCCAGTCTCTAATTCGTCCATGGCCGTTCCAAAAATATACAATATTTATATATGTAGTAATGCATCACGAGAAAACCACTGGACAGATTTTTATGAAATGTGGTATGATGATAGCTGGTTATCCGAGTCAACATATAGGATACTTTTTACCCTGGGAAAATATTTCATTTGTGAGAAAAAATACAAAAACTGCATTGTAATAGTATACTAATAAATAAAACCTAATAATCTGGTTTTTGGTTATCTGAACGCGGGCGGAGTCGCGGGCAATGCTTGTTATATATATATATATATATATATTTATTATTTATTTATTTAATACTTTATTACACCAGAAAAGAAGTACAATTTTAAAACACATATTATATAAAAAAAAAAATTCTGTGTAAAGGCGGCCTTATCACTAAAGTGATCTCTTCCAGGCAACCCATAAACCTATAAAGGAACTCTTAAGGTAGAATGGATAGGGGTTGGCGCATAAAAAAAAAAACCAATATAACATACTTACTTATACGGTACATACTATAAATTACACATAAGTTTACATAAATAACAATAAAGAGATACATAAATATATATTACATAATATATAAGTTTAGACAATATACGTATATATTCCACAATAAACTTACATAAACAGGATGTACATAAATATACATAGACTTACAGGGATAAATAATAGACTTTAAGACGACGTTTAAAAACTTGCACTGATTTTGACTGGCGAATATTATGTGGTAAAGCATTCCATAATATTGCGGCTTTGACTGTATATGAGTCACCATAGTTTTGGGTGCGACTGACGGGCAGTGCTAATTTACTGTCAGCTTGCGATCGAAGGTTTAGGGAATGGCCAGAACCAAGGAAACTAAACCTTGTTTTAAGGTAAGGAGGAGTGTGGGAGTGAAAAAGGATGGTGTATAGGAGAGTGAGGATATGCAAGTTACGACGCTGCTTGACGGTGAGCCATTTGAGTTGAGCTCGATATTGAGAGATGTGGTCAAATTTTCTCAAACCGTAAACAAATCGGATTGCCATATTTTGTAGACGTTCCAATTTATTGAGGTGAATCTGCGACAAGTCAGGATAGCATGCATCGGCATAATCGAGTAAGGGAAGGAGAAGGGTTTGTGCTAGGGATACTTTGGTTTTTATTGGTAAAAAATTTTTCCACCTCCTCAAACGACTAATTACAGCGAAGAACCTCCTACTTACTTCAGAAATCTGGGGCGCCCATGATAAGGAATTATCCATTATGAGGCCTAGATTTTTAACAGAGCTGCGAATTTGCAGTATAGTCCCGTCGAATAAAATAGGTGAAAGGGATGACATATTAATTTTGGATACTTGCTGACGAGAACCAAATAGGGATACCTGCGACTTACTCGGGTTTACAAATAACCCAAACGATTTACTCCACGTACTTACAGTATTGAGATTAGAATTGAGTTTGGCTATGGCATCATGAAGACCATCTATGGGTGTTGTTACATAGATTTGCAGGTCATCAGCATAAAGGTGAAAAGGCAATGATAGAAGCTTAGTTATGGAGTTGATGAAGATAGAAAAAAGGAGAGGAGATAGGACACCGCCTTGAGGGACACCCGCTTTCAGGTAACAGAAGGATGAGTGCTTGTCTTCGACACGAATGCATTGCTTCCGATCATAGAGATAGGAGCGGAACCAATCAACAGCATTCAACGAAATATTCATTGTCTGTAGGATTGCTAGGAGAATGTCAAAGTCTACAGTGTTAAAAGCATTTGAGAAGTCTAATAACGCAATTATAGTAACTTGCTTATTGTCAATCCCGTTCCTTATATCATCGCAGATTTTAATCAGAGCAGTGGTCGTGCTATGTCCCGGTCGAAATCCGGATTGGTAGGGGCTGAGCAAATTATGCGTTGAAAGGTGTAATGAAAGTTGGCTGTGGACTACACGTTCAAGCACCTTAGAAAGAAAAGGAAGTATTGAAATTGGTCTATAGTGACAGAACGATGAGGGATTGGAAATTTTTGGGATGGGAATAACATGAGCTGAACGCCAGCATCTAGGAAAGGAATTTGAAGAGAGAGAATAATTAAAGATGTGGCAGAGGACTGTAAGAATGTGATTGAGAGCTAAGAGAATCATCTTTCGACTCACTCCATCGCTACCAATGGCGTTAGATTTTATAGCCATTATATGCATCTTAACATCCTTAGGAGAGATAGGTGAAAAATTAAAGAGCGTAGAATTAGGCTTAGGGTCAAGAGCAAGAGAATAAAGAGTGTTAGCTTTTATTGTATGTTCTATTAAGGGAACAGTAGCAAAATGCTTATTAAGGGCTTCCACGTCTATATTACCAGTCATGAGAGAGGTTTTACGATCCTTACCAATACCCATAGCATCTAGGAATTTCCAAACACTAGCAGAATCTTTATTTTCCACTGAGGCATGGACATATTCGCGCTGAGCATCTCGGCAGAGTCTATTGCATTTGTTACGTAAGTACTTAAATTTAAGCAAATTATCGGCAGTGGGGTTAATTTTATATTTGGATCTAGCTCTATTTCGTTTGGTCATTAGCACTCTAATTTCATGTGTCAACCAAGGTGCCGGGAGATGCTTGATTTTAATCGGCCTGAGTGGAGCATGTATGTCAAACAGATCCGTAAGTATGGAATTAAATATATGCAACTTATCATCAGTGGACGAGGCATTTAAAACTGAATTCCAGTCAATCAAACTAAGATCTTTCATAAAGCTGTCATTATTGAAGTTCTTAAAGCTGCGTCGCATAACCACCGTAGGCTTGGCTTTGGGTGGACGTATTTTATAGGACAGATAAACTAAGTCGTGGTAAGAGAACGCGTCAGCTGAGAGCTGTCCGTGCACATTAACGAGGTCAAGTGAAGAGACAATCATCAGATCCAACAACGAAGGAGTGCAATCAGGAAAAAAATGAGTCGCACAGTTAGAGTTGACTATATTAAGATTAGCGCCCTTGATAATGCTGTTCAAGCGCTTAGCTCGTGAGTCATCCTTAATCAAACAGGTATTAAAATCCCCCATGATTATAGAGTGATCAGCATCTGGAATAAGTCTCTCCAGTAAAACCTCAAATTCATCAAAGTAGTCGATGCGCATTGAAGGACTATAGAAAACTCCCAACAAAAGTTTCAAACAACCGAAAAGAACCTCAATTATAATATATTCAGCTGACTCAGTGTATTGGGAGGGGGATTTGCTTAAAATATTAAAAGGAATGTGTGATCGGAGATAAATAGCAACCCCTCCACCACCCTTGTCTGTTCTATCGTTCCTAATCAGATGAAATCCCGGCAAAGCATACGAAGTAGAAGGAAGGCAGGGTTTAAGGAAACTTTCCGAGACCAGGATCGCATGTAGATCTTTGACGTCAAACGTGCTTAATAGGTCCGGGTAGTGGGCTGGGATACTCTGCGCATTAATGTGGGCAACATTGAAGCTTTTTGAATGATGAGAGAAGGTAGAGTGTAAGGTTTCATTGAGGGGAATGGAGGGACTGGGGAGACTGGCATCGTCAGATGATGAGGAATCACATGGATAGTAAATGTCGTCGTCTGAAGTATTATCATTTTCGCTATACGTCATATTCATATAATACTATATAATAATAAAGATAAAGTATACACTAAATAAAATACAACAAAAAAAAAAAAAAAAAAAGATAAATAAATAGTAAAATAAAACTGTGTCATTTGCTAACCCACCAGCCATATCCGTAACCAAATTGCCTATACACAATAATTGTGAGACATACCATAATTACAGCCTTATAATGAAAACAACATAGAGAAAAAAATAAATAAAAAAGTAGTATAAAAAAAAAACAAAAACATCAAAATCTGAACAGCGTTATAACAAAAGCAAAACAAAAAAAAATATTGCGTGAATAAATGGTAAAGTAATTAACAAAAATAAACTAATGCAAGAGTTTGATCTCGAATTAAAATAACAGAAGAAGATATATTATACACCTACTAGTAAAATATAAAAGAATGTTTAATATTTATTAAGGTAACATTTTTAATTACTTCTAAAAGACAATAAATTGAACTAATTTTAGAACGGAACTTAACATGACGCTGTTGCCTGTCAGTTTGGCAGTGACACTGTCATAGTGGCAGTGTCATTTCACAATTCGTATTTGTATCTATGGTTTAAACAACAAACCGAGTAAATAATTGCGGGTATACCTTTCCGATACATAATTATTTGTAGAAATAGTAAGGTTAGAGTGCAAAACAGGCATTTTATAAAAACAACTAGTATAAATGTGTATTACCCGTAACATACAACAAAACATCATTATCACTTCTTGATGTTGCGCTTAGCCCGGTTCACTTGCGTTGGCGGAGCTGCTCTTGCTTTTGAAGATATAGGACCAGACGCAGAACCAGTAACAGCAGTCGACACATGGGCCTCAGATAGACTGGAAATATTGTCGAGCTCCGATCGCGAACTAATGCGATGTCGAGTTCCACTGGGCGCAATAACAAATACGACTCCTTCCCTGGTCCAGCATTTAGAGACACCGAAGCGCTGCCTAGCAGCCATAAAGGCATCGTGTCTGGTTTTAGTAAGAAATTCAGATATGGTTATACCTGTACTTTTAAGTTTGGTCTTAGAATACCAAACCTTATTCCTAATCAACAACAGCTTAAATTTGATAAGGACTACACGATGTTTGTCATTTTTGGAGCTTCCTATGCGATGACAACGACTGATATCCTCGATTGAGAGTTCTGGCATGCCAAGACGGTCGGATAGAAGTTTGATCATTACTGTGGACACATCTTCATCTGGAACACCGTGTACTAAGAGGATTTTCTTTCTAGTATTCATGTCAAGACGATCTTGTTGTTCAGAGAGATGATTTACCTGCTGCTGCAGATTTTCAAGAGCTGAGAGTACAAAGTTTCGAAAAGTACTGAATTGTGCCGCTATGTTTGATGTTGGACTTGTTGCTGGAATTGAAGTACTTAAGTTCTGCTGGAACTCAGCCATTGTGGTGTTAAAGTGTTGTGCCAGGTCGTTAAGGGATTGCTTGATTGAGTCCATTGTATGAAAGTGTCACAACGAAGTAGTGATTATGCACTAAGTAAATGTTTTCAGTGTAGAGGCAAAGTACTCTTATGGAGATTACTTAAGGAATTATTGCTGGTAGGTTTGTCACTTTGAGCACATAACTTGAGATTAAATTAAGCTTATTATGATTTTTAATTAAATATATGAAGAGGAGCTTACAAAAATATGTGTTACTATTTGTACGCCTACCCGAAAAAAAGTAAATATATATATATATATATATATATATATATATATATATATATATATATATGTATATATATATCCAAAACAACATTTATACGTTTAATAAATTAAATATATGTAAAATTATAGCAAAATACATTTAAGGTAAGACGTCTTATATGGACTCTTCGCCACTGGTGTTTAGCCGTTTTATCATTATTTGGGATACTATTTTAAACTACGGATAGCAAATATTCATAATAATAAGAGCCACTGATTAAATCTAACTTAATCTGGATACCTGCTGTCTGAGAGAATCTAGCAAATTCTCGAAAGACATTCTCAGTCCTGCTCTTGGCCAGTGTGATGGCCTATGGCTAGACCCCCTTTGTTGTAAAGAAACGCCCGTGCCCAACAGTGGGACATTAAAAAAAGGCTGAATACATTGTTATGTACTATATCTCCTGGAAAAATATTAATATTCATTAAATGATAATATTTAAACTAGATAATTATTCTCAACAGACGAATATTTAATATTTTCTGGTCCCCAAAACATGTTTTTTCCCCCTAAAATCTCACGGAAACCACTTTGTATAAATATTAAATATCAGTCCATAAACTACTGTTATACAAATAATATTACGTCATATTGCATAGAAGAGGAAAAATAATAAACATCCAAATGAACATCTTCGTTTTTGAATATTGTTATTTTATTCATAGTTATAATGTTAGGATGAACAACTAAAACATCGTTCAGATCACAAGCTCGAACATCCGTAACTCGATTTACTTACAATAATAATTCAGCATTTGTAACATTTCATTTCTGGTTGCGGGCTTACGGCAATGCGAGAAGGGTTAGGCCACGACACTGTGCATACATACATATATACGTATGGGTTAGCGAACTTCACACCTTTCGAAAACTAGTTAGATTCTCTAAGACGTGCAAGTTTCCTTATGATGTTACCGTTATTGTGTGCCTCGGTGGTGTAGTAGCTAGCATATACGGCTGCACACCCGGAGGTCCTGCGTTTGAGTCCCGGGTCGGGCCAAGTTTAATTATTGAGTTTTTTGTTTAGTAAGCCTCAGTAACAGTCTGGAGTTGGAAAGTTGGCGGTGTTGCACCCCCATGCCTCGGAGAGCACGTAAAGTCGGTCGTCGGCCATGCGACACCGGTCGTATCGAGTAGTCGTAGCGGAGTATGAGAGTGACAGGAATAGAGAGTGCACTTGTGTCTGTGCGTACACTTGTCTACTATAATATCTTCTCCCGGGGGAGGAGCCAACTCCTACCGGGCGCGTCCGCAGGTGGCGGATAGGGGAATGCCACCCGCTTGGGGCGGCGGGTGGTACCGGAGAAATCCGGCGCGGACCAAATGGCTTGGATGGGGCCGCTCGTCTAGGCCTCGAGCTGAAGACGTTGCGGCCACCGGTGGTGGGACCGCTTGGTCCCACAACCGGATGATGGGTGCCGGTGCCTGCGACCACAGTCCCGCATCCGGCGGAGGGGTAGGCCGCGGCGGGAGAGGAGTGCCGGTATTTCGGTGCGCCGTTCTCCCTACCTTCCGCGGCCTAGACGGGGCCGCCACCGTTTGATGGCGGACGCGGTGGGGCTGCAGGGGAAGAGGAGTGTCGGTGTTTCGTTGCCGCTCTCCCTGTCCTCTGCAGCCGATTGGAGGTGGCCCACTTCGGTGGGCGGTGTTTTGGTTTTATGGGGCTGCTCCGGGTACCTCTCTGACGTAGCAGAGTTGACTGTGGAGCAGCCCCATTGGTTTGGTGCGCCGTAGTAGTTATGCGCAAGCGATCCTGCAGCGTCCCACTAAGGCGGAGGGAAGGGATGTCGGGTTTTAGTGGGTAGTAAAAAAACTATTATATCTCCTGCGCAGTTGGCTAGTCTCAATGAGATTGGCGGCCAATCTCGTGGTAATTGGTGGCCGTAATCGATCAGGAGGACAATATCATTATTACATACATATATACGTACGTACTTTCGAAAATTAGAGACGTGCAGGTTTTCTTATGATGTTACCATTATAGTATTGGTAATTATGTTAAAAATGTAATTTGTTTATGTAAATATCTGAGGTGCGATACACGAGGCTTGAATCCATTTTACTCTGTTTTCAAAGTACCTTGCATCCCCCAAAACTTAGGAATATTTTTATCATTTTTTCAAATCTCCAGGTTCACCAGATTAGGATAAACATTAAAAATGTCTGGTTAAAAATGTCTAGTTTGCTAATTACAATATTAGACTAACAATATATTATGAACGTCTAATAAATATAAATAATACTAAGTATTACATATTTTACAGAACGTGTGAAAAATAATCTCATAAATAATAATAAATTAAAGAAGCAATATTCACAATTCCGCTTTTATAATTCACAAGTAATAATTGAAATTCATAGCCCAGTTCAAAGGTGACGAGGTATTTATTGACGCCGGTATTTTAATGAAGTTCCAACATTTATCAGGTGATATTGTAATTAAAATTTTAATTGAAATATCGGTGACATGAAAGCATCTAGAAATTGCATGATATTTGCACCTTTCAGTCTGCGCTTATATTATCGTCAAACTTTATTAAAAAGTCCATACCAATCAAAAGTCATGAGATGATTTTGATGATGACATAACGCAGTAACAAAGTTATGCCGCATTTACACTCTACATTGTGGCTCTGGAGTAATCTTCTTTTAAATAACAAACATGCCAAGTTAAATAAACTAGCGGCTCACCCTTGCTTCGCTCGAGTTCGCCTCTAGAAAAGCACAAACAGATTTATCCCACGGGAACCATTCATTTTTCCGGGATAAAGAGTAATCTGTTGTTTGACCGGCAATATAAGGTATCAGCGTGCCAAATTTTACTAAATTAGGTGCAGAAGTTGTTGTGTACTAAGCTGTACAAGTTACTATAGTTTTTTGACTATCCCACGGGAAGTCTTTAATTTTTTTGGGATGAAAAGTATCTATAATGTTGACCGGGGATATAAGGTACCATCATGCAAAATTTCATTTAAATCGTTCTAACAAACAATTTCGAAAATTAGCCTGTACAAACAGACAAACAGACAGCGAAACAAAGAAATTGAAATAAATATGGATTTGTTCTATTTCTCTTCTTACATCCCCCTGACTTGGTCTGTAGCATTTTTTTCTATGTACAGACATTCTACCTCCACAGTTTTATTATATGTATAGATAGATATTTTTATAATATTTATATAATATTATATTATTTAGTTTCTTGTATTTTCATCTTTTATTCTTTACACCACTGTCTTTTTGCAAATATTTCCTACATCTAAAGGTAAAAATTAAAGGTGCCTGTAAGAAATTACTGTTTTAATGATAAGGCTGCCTCTTGTACTATTGTTCTATTGTTTGTGTTTTTGATAATTTTTGTTATGATTGTAAAATAAAGGAAGATGTCGAGTTCGCAAGATACATATATTTTTATTGATGCAGCAGATGTTTTATCTGGTCTCGTAAAGGCAAAACGAGATGCGGTACGTGTGTATTGTTATACCCATAACGACCACCCAGATTATATAGAAAAGCGTAAAATGAAGTGGAACAAGAAAATCATCTATCAAGAGTAAATGGATAGGAATTTAGCGTTATTTTATTAATTAGCTAAGTACCTAGCAAGAAACGTTTATGATTTAAGCATATATCTACAAAAAATCGCAAAACTACCTAAATAATACTAATACGGTATGTACCTATTACTATAGTTTTGAAGTTTGAACTCTCAAAATAATCTGCAATCTTTTTATGCTGCAAAAGTTATACATGATATGTTGATAAGAATAAAATAAATAATACTAAATGATAAAACTTAAATAAACAATGAAGTATTGATACGTATAAAATTTATTTAAAATATGAAAATATAAAAAAAATATATTAAAATATAAGCAATCTGTGCTAAAATCACAGAATATATAATATATATATGTACTAGCAGAATTGCGGATTCACTCGCACTAAAACTACAAAAAAACTCTAAAAAAGTAGTTTCATACAAACTTTAATTTCCTATTTTACCACCTTATAGCATTGAATTTCGAAAAATGCTAAAAGACGTATTTTTTAATTTTATTGAAGAGTAGTAGCTAGTTAAATATAAAAAGTGTTATCGTAGTCATTCCATCCAAACGTACCTCCGCTGGAGTTCCAGCGATTTTAATACAACAATATTTATGCAATTTACTATCTTTAATAACAAACCTAGTTATTTACTGACTTTACTTAATAATAGCTTCAATAACGTACTTTTTAGCATTTTTAAACGGTTTTTTTATACGGTTCTAACCGTAACTCTGCTTTATTGCCTAATAACTCCGTATTTTTGAAGAAATTCTGGATACAAGTAATAAAAACCCCTTGTTTTATGTTCCAGTGTGACATTAGGTTTGCTATGTAAATTACATGCGGGGACATCTCGTGGGAAATAAATCTGATACTAGGTGGAGTGATCTACAGGCTTCATCTCATTACTTCGGTTTTGCAATGTAGGCATATAGTTTTTAGTCAATTATTACTTAATGCATTAATCAGATTTCCAATGATTCTCGTGTCTTTTTTTCAATCTTTTATTTAGTTTCACCTGTCCCGGCGCGTGTAATGGAATTTTGCAAGTTAAATTTGACCCACTTCCCAGTATCCGATTGAGCCGTAATTTGGTACACTAGTTTGGTTTCCAATACAATCTACGATTACTGAAAAGTCAGCATTTTTAAACCAATAAAAAAATGGCGACTGTCTCAGAATGGCGATTTATCATTTC